GACAGATTAGGCTTGGGATATAAATTCAAAGAATGGAAAGTGAAAATGATGCGGGACAATAGGGAAGGAAAAAGAATAGCAAGAAATATATCGATTGTCGTACCACATCTAATGAGACTTTTAGGCTATGAGGGTACATATGTCCAGGGACAAAGAAAGATGTCAAAAATGAACTAGGCATAGAAGAAGTTTTCATTGAGATATCCATCCAGATGGTAGGAGAATGATTTTAAAATGAAGAGGTGTTTGTTCATTCATGTCTACTAGGCTTTGAACTTACAAATTAGAGCATCATTGAGATGCCTGCTATCCTTAATACCCTTCCAATGTAATTACAATTCCTAATTGCTTATGCCCAAAAGCATTGGGATAATCTTTTATATATAGGCCTCTTATTAATTATTATCTCAATAAAAGCATAGGGTTATGCATTTCCATTCATTTTTCCTATTTAGTTTCCATTTTTCCTTTTTAGTCAAAGCATTTTGCCAATATTTTTCATTTCATTTTAGGTCCTAAATAAATGTGAGGATGGTCATGATAACAATCAGGGATTTAATTTTAAAAATTCAATTAATGCTGATGAACTTGACATTGAAAAAGACTTTGAAGAATACATTTTTTCTTCGAATCTAATGAAACTGATTGAACATAAGAATAAATCTATTGAGCCTCATCAAAAAACTACTAAGATGATCAATCTAGGGAATAATGAGAACAAAAAAGAAATTAAAGTTTGCATGTTGCTTCCATCTACTGATAGATGAATGTTAGAAAATATGCTTTGAGAATTTGTAGATATGTTTGCCTGGTCTTATCGAGATATACCGAGGCTTAACACTAAAATAATATAATGTAGGCTACCTTTGAAGTTTATTGATTGAAGTTTTCAGCCAAGTTTCGGCAAATATCCCAGAAATCGATGAGAAAATCCTAATTTTTGGTCACTTGGTTTAGAAATTAGAAAGAGACAGACAGAGAAAAAGGGCTTTAGAGAGAGGAAAAGAGAAGTTGGTCCTAAGTAAAACAAATTTTTCTTAGCTTTTATACAAAACTTGTACAATGTCATTTTGGCAATAGGTTCAACCCACTCAACCCGTGTCGAATCCACGGGCCACCCGCTTGCACAACCCGACCTGATCACAAGTAATTCCTTTCCTCTTTTCATTTAATTTTTTGTTTTAATTTTAATTTTATTTCATTTTTCCTATTTTATTTTCATTTATTATATATAAATATATATATCTTTTCTTTTTTTACTATTATTTTATCTCTTATTATTATTTAGTATTTTAAATTGAGCAAATAAATTATTTTATGAATTTCATTTTATTTATTCAAAGACAAAATAAAAATAAAAAAGTTTTTAAAATAGATTCATGAATCTTACCAAACTATTAGAAGAATTTTCATGAATTTAAATTTTTTATGAATTCTACCAAACTGTTGGAGAATTTCATAAATCAATTTTTATATAAAAAATTTATTATTAATAAAATATTTTGTTTTGATCCTACTAAACTATTGAAAGATTTACATATTAAATTAGGTCTTACTAAACTATTGAAAGATTTAATACATGTTTTAAAAATAAATTTATAAAGAAATCTTACAAACTTTGGAGAGATCTGCATTTAAGTAAATCTTATCAAACTATTGAAAAATTTTGCTAATTATTTTCTTGAATAAAAATATATTAATGAATCTGATGACAAAATCTCTTCAGAGAGAGATACTAGCCTTCATAAATACTCATGATGTGAAGAAATTATCTTAAATTAACTAAACTATTGGAGTAAATTTATGATTAGTTTTTAATAATTAAATGATTTGGTAAAATTATAAGAATATTTTAAGGCTTAGATAATTTGAAATCAAATTGATACATCATTTGGATGTGCTTAGTGAGGGTGCTATAACTTTTCTCACGTGTAACCGCACTCTTGAAGCTAAAATTTGATTTCGTGAACTAAAATTTACTATTTAAAGATACCTAAGTCAATCTTGGGACTTCTTTTTAAATAGAACTATCAGGTGGTCAATTACACTTAAACAAAAAAGATTGGTGACGACTCCTTTAATTTATGTCTAGCGGTAAGTTCACGGATCTATATGTTATGACAATATAAAGAAAATGATTACGAGACTTCCATTGTATATGGAGCCAAGTATGTCTAGCATAAGATGATTTAATAAAATTTGAGTTAAAGTGAAGATTGTTGAGATTCACCAAATCCAATAAGAGATTTGGATAGAAATTTATTCAAAGATGGGATTTGCTATATATTACTTTATGGATAAGAAGATTTTTTAAAAAAAAATTTTAAAAGGAAAGTTACTTGATATGTAAATTAGTATGTTTATAAATAAATGGAGTCTTTACAAGGTTAGACATGAGAAAAAAATTAAAAAATTGTAAGATTTTATAAGATAAACACCCATAAGGCTAGAAGATATTGAAAGGATTCTCATAGGTGAGTATATTTGACAATTTGAGTAGATTAGAGGAGAAAGAAAGAGTTTATATAGATATTGTAAGCCGCATAGGCATGTGTTTATATGGATTGAATGTTGATTGTTTTAATTGTAAATAAATGTTGATTATTTTGATATATTTATAATTTTTTATAACTAATAAATCATATTTTTTATTCATGAGTATAAGTCGATTTGATTGAATCAAGTTAAATTTTATCTTTTATGTAATTAATTTATTGTTTAATTTTATTTTTACTAATTTAAATATTTAATTGGATTAAATTTTTTAATTTTACTATTGAAATTAAAACTTTCGTAATCTTAATATGACATAGGTGAAGTTGAGATTATCAACATGTTTTGTTTCTAATTTTAGGGCACATGTGATTACATTTGGGTGGTTAGTTGCGTTTTATCCCACGAAAGGAACACGAACAAAAATAGGGTTCTTGGAGACCAAACCCAAATATACCCAATAGCTAAAACAGAAACTAGTTGTTGTGGGTCAATCCAACTCTACTTCATGGCTCATACTACTAGCTAGGGTGGGCTATATGCACAGTTCAAGTAGAACCGTGCAAAAGTAAAGATCTCGGCTACAAGTTGGCATCATCGATGAAGAATTGGTCATTCACGTTTAAAAATGATTAAAAGGATTGCTTCAAGTTGCCAATACAGTGAATTTGGCAGGCTAGAGCCCTATAAAAGTCGTTGTGCTACAATTTAATTCTTCCAGCGCAAGTGAAGGGAAGTCTTCGGTTCCCGTTTATATTCGGCGTCCTATTATTGAACAATCGTTTTCTTAGGACCCTTTGATTAGACCCACTTTTGTAAGAAGGGACATTCATATAAGCCGGCCTAATAAGTTCATGATGTAATGGCAGCCTAGCCGTTTCCTTCCAACGATAAAGAATATAAACGAATCCCCATAATTATAAACAGAAAAAAGAATTCAAATAAAAAAGAGAGAAAATATAGGCTTCATTATCACTTGGAAAATTTTAATTTGTTTGGACATTTTTCAGACAGAAAACTAAAAAATCCTGTGATTTTAAGGTTTATTCCGAAGAAACCAATAAATTTGAAAGTCAATGCTCCATCAAGAAGAGCCTAACTTTACTTGGACCAAACAAGTTGTCCAACTGAGTTAGGATATTTAGCATTTGCCGGTATTTATTTACAAGTATTAAGAATGTCGCACTTGTCGACGATATAAATGTGTCACAGCGGAACTCCAACAACGAAAGTTGCCAAATTCAACTCACCCGGTCAGTTCAATATATTTTCTTTGTTTTGTTTGACAGCAGCACTTGGATCAGATAGCTCCTTAACGCCCAAGTAAGAAACATTATCCAATAAACTATCAAATACAAATAAAAAAAAAAAAAAAAAGAGTTTAAGATATGATATCCTATGTGGGACTGCGACTGGACTGGAACCGAAGATGTACCTTAAAATATTTAACTCTTTGTTTCATTGTCGTCACTTCAAACCTCAGCTGGCTGGGTGTCAAACAATTCGTATGTTAAGTAGCATAACATTCATTAAAAGAGGTTTAACTACTTCAAAAAAAAAATAATAATAATACTGGTTAAACACCTAACAACCAGCAAAAAATTCCAATTATTCATTGCAACTTTTTCTCATGGAGGACGGCAAACCTTCCCCAATCCCAATCAAAAATCGTTTGGCCTTCTACCCTAGAGTTTTGTGACTAATTTAAGATTAATAAATTTATGTTGGACAAAAATACCCTTCTCTAATTTCCTCGTTCCCCAAACCAACTACTCTAAATAATATGGATGGAGTATTTCTTTTGTTTAATTTAACAAAACATGCTGACTTGGGACTCTCCAACGGGGGAGAGACCCTCGTAACCTTTCTCCTCCCGATATCAACAATTGTCATCAAAAAATTTAAAATATATAGATTTTTTCTTTTAATTTCCCCTTCTTTCTACCCTCTCCTCTGTTTTCTCCCTCTCAATATCTCTCATCTGAGGTCGGTCTCGACCTTTGTTCGACTAGGTCCAAACATCGAGATAATCGAAAGCAGTCTTAAATAGGCTGAAGACAAATCTGACTTCTTGCACATTGTTTCCAACCATCCCAGCGTCCAATATAGACCCAACTGGCTAGATTTCACATAATTATGGGAGAGAAAGAAGACTGAAAGAGCAAGGAGAGGGGATAAAAAGAAAGAAATAATAAAAAGAAAGAAAAAAAATTAAAATTTTTATTAATCATTTGTAATTTACTGTTAAATATGACAACTTATAATTAAACTCAACGTAAATCACAAAGCGATTTTAACTAATTTATCAACCAAAAAAAAAAAGCAATTCTAACAAATAATATTCCTTCACAGATAAGTCAATTTCTCCGAAAAAACTAAAATCCTTAATCCCCACGCATTTCCCCTTTTTTTCTGTACCTTTTTTCTCATTTTGTTCCATTCCTTCCATTTACATTATCCCCTCCTACACCAACGTGTTAAAATTAGGACTTGCTATGATATTTCCGCGTTCATATTTATTTATAAAAAAAAAGCTTGGGAAGTTTCCATCGTCCACACAAGCCAACTGCCTATTAAAACCCGACAAAATCAACATCCTCAAACGACTGTCTTAATTTTATTTCTGCAAAGACATTGAAACGTTTGATTTTGAGGTTCTTGTTTTTGCTTGGTTAACGATGCAAGTCATGAGTTCTTCTCCGTCTTTGTCTCACGGCTTTAGTAAGTATTCCGGAACTGGGTTTCCGGACATCGACGGCAAGTCTAACCATGATTTTGGAGTTCAATTACAGCTCAAAACCGAGGAACAAGAAGAGAAACCAAACAATCTGCCGCAAATGGAAGAGAAAGAGGAAAACGGAAACGAAGAGAAAGAGGAAGAGTTTTCGTTTGTTTGTTTAAATCCTGATGGATCCCCAATTTCTGCAGACGACGTTTTCCAAAACGGTCAGATCCGTCCCGTTTTCCCGTTATTTAACCAAGATCTCCTCTTTGCCGATGATGATAGCTCTGTTTTCAAGTCGGAAGACAGCAACGTGTCTCTACGGCCTCCGTTGAGGAAGCTTTTCGTGGAAGATTCACAGGACACGACGTCGTCGAGCTCGCCGGAAACAGCGGGACCGTACTGCGAGTGGGGGAGAAGTAGAAGAACCGCAGAGGAAACCTCACCGGACACGTGTAAGAAGAGCAACTCCACAGGGTTCTCTAAGCTTTGGAGGTTCCGAGATTTGTTGCAAAGAAGTAGCAGCGACGGTAAAGACGCGTTCGTCTTCTTAAGCCATCCGACTTCTTCCTCTGCTTCGTTGGTAAAAACTGAGAAGAAAAACGAAAAAGACGAGAAGAACGTGGCGAAGGTGGAAGAAAGCGGGGAGAAACCAAAGGTGCAGAAAGAAAAGAGAGGTAAAACGGCGTCCTTGTCTGCTCACGAAAAGCTTTACGTTAAAAACAGAGCCATGAGGGAAGAGGATAAACGTCGGTCGTATTTGCCGTATAGGCAGGTCGGGTTTTTTACTAACGTCAATGGGCTGAGCAGAAATGTTCTTCCATTTTAGGTTTTCTACTAATTTTTCAATTTAATTAATTTTATTTGTTATTGTAAATTGAGCGAGTTCACTGAGTGAGAACAATATTTGCTAGGTGGCAACGTAAATCAAGATTTGTTTTCCTTTTTCTTTTTCTTTTTTTTTTGGAGAATTATAAATCAAGATTTTCTTGATGATGTATATATATATATATATGTGATTCTAATTTGATTCCAAAGAATAAGATAATTTACTGAAGCAGGCAACGTTTTAGTACTTGTACTTTTGAAAGCATTGTCCTCAAACCTAAAGCCTTCAAAATTCAAAGCACAGTTCAAGCTCCTAATAATTTTATAGTAGGTAACTTTTCCCCGTAAACTTCACCATGTTTTTTTTTTTTTTTTAAGTCGCAGTCTAAATATAAATAAAAAATTATTAAAATTGTAATTTTAATTCATTTTTTAAAAAATATTATATAAAATAATTGAATTAAACTTGGATCATACCTCTGTTATAAGACAATTTGAGTATGATTTATTACCAAACAATAAACTGAAAATTTTATAAATATAGCTTAATCTTTTAAGCTTTGAAGGCACATTGTATCCCTATCTCAAACTCTTGATTACAAATTTGGGAGCAAAGTCTTCATCTCCAAACGTGGTGAAGTAGTGTTTCATGCACATAGAGAAATTTCCTGGGAATTGACATCTTTAAAGCTAATGGCTTGGATTTGACTGCATAATCGTTTTCAGCTGAAGACACTATTGCCACTTTCACAAGATAAACGAAAGTGTAAAGAAATTTCAGAGAAAAAATGTTTTGATGCTTGCAAAAAGGAACTGTTTGGATTTGACAGCACCATTTTTTTGGTTCACATGAAAGTGGGGCTCACTGCTTTCTGTTAAACTCCGTGCCAAAGCTAGCAGAATTATCAAAAATTTGTTTAACACCGAACGGTTTCACAAAGGAACCAACCATCCTTCACCAGACCTTTTTGACGGTCGGCTCAGGCGGTGTACCACATCTGGGTTCCTGGAAACTCCTAATCCCACATGAACCCCTCATTGGTTTTCAATTTTGCTCACAGTTTTTATAAGCATTTTGTTTGGGTCAGACTAAGAATTTTCCAAAGGGAATCTCAAATCACATTATGGTTTTAGTGATAGTTTTCACCAACCAATCCATGTCCTAGACCTAGAGAAATGGTGTTTGCAGGCTTTTGGTATGAATTATATAAGATCCCATAAAGAAGAAAAATAAAAGGACAAGGAAATCGTTCATTAATACCGCATCTAATATGGTGGAAATCAAACAACAATGATCTAACAAAGCATGCTCATCTGCAAAGTGCAATGGCAGATGCCAGATGGTTTACTCTAGAAACTGGAAAGGCCGGACAAGGAAAGGGAACCAAGAATGAGGAAATAGGTTGCCCTTGGACAAGAATCTAGTGTTATTCAGTACGGGGATCAAAATAACACATAATGATACCATACGTTAGATTCTAAATAAGTAAAATTTACTAGTTTTATTTCAAAGCTGAGCATGTTCAATCAATTACCAATAACCAATAGGCAATAGCTAACGTATAATACGACATGATGATAGCTACACCTATCTCCAAGAAGGTTCAAATCTGTCCTCTCCTAACAATTCACAATTTCACATACTTTATCACAATACTTAGTTTTAATATCTCCAACTAAATTCAAAAAAAGTATTAAAGATTGTTCCTTCTTTTTATAAATATATATGGATTACAAAGGTAGATAATATGTAAAAAAAATTAAATATGTGAATATGAAAATGAAAATGAAAAAACAAATGTTTTTGCAAGTAGATAAAAGTTGATCATACCAGAATCACATGGTACAAGTTTTCTATCATAATTGATCATTTCAAGGGTAAAAGTGATTTTAGGTTATAAGAAAAGGAGTTTATATGGTATATAATTCTTATCTCTTACAGGCGACATCAAAAATATTTTGTGGGGTCAAGAGAGAGGTATATGGCCCTCTCAATCCCATTGCAGCATCTGGAAGACTTTAAAATTAGTGTAAAACACCTAATTCTAAACAGAATGAAATGCATGCATAACAAATGAAAATGTAATTTATTAAAACACATTGTAGGTGCATCCTCATCATTATTACAGATACACATACAATATAGTATGCACACTTATTTAAAGAAACACTTTCTAATCAGCCTTCCTTTATCAGACTAATTCTGTTATGTGGCATGCAGGTTGCACACAATTAATTACAGACATTAACATATTTTAGCGCAGGTCAAAGATCTCAAACCTTAGATTTGAATTTTTGTAGACATGAGTGCAGTGTTCATAAATGGGGCTCCCATTTACTGTTTCTTTGTGAGAATGAAATTGAGATCCTTTCTCTTCGCATTCTTTCAGTACACTCATTCCACTGGGATCAGATACTCGGAAAATCCCATAACTCCTGGAAAAAATCAATAAGGAGAGCTCGATGAAATTCACTTGATCATGATTTAACATATTCAGAAAACTTTATGCTGTTATTTCTCATTGATTTGTAAACAGAGCAGTTCTTATGCTTTTTCACTTAAATTAGTGACACTATTTTAGTTTTTCTACTAAATGTATTACTATTAGAGCTTGTCTGCTGAGGCAGCCTCAGCAAGCATGCGGTTCAAAATTTTATTTTTCTATTGCTAAAATTAGAATTCATTTGTTTGAGAGTGTAACTTGAGAGCTACACAGTAAGCTTGCAGCTGCACTGCAATTTTAGATGAACTCAGATGAAGCAAAGTTAACATTGAACACAGACCCGTCTGCTTATACCAGCTAGATTCCTAGTTTACATTTTATAGAATGCAAAGAAAAGCAAATTTTTTATAGACATGTTAGTAGTGGCCTAAAAAAAATATTTGTTACAAAAGGTGGGTACAAGTCCATATTTATACCAAAGGCACATCAGTGTTAAATATAAAGGCAGTAAGCAGATGATGCAGGATGATTTAGCCCATCTGAACAGAATAAGGAAATGAAGAAAATGAAAACAGTAGTGAGGGCAATAGTAGGAAGTGATAATGATACTTTATAGAGGCAAAAGGGAAGCTATGTATATTAGAGGCCAAGCAATACATAATTGACCAGCATGGAAAACCAAAATATAGAACTAAATATGCGGATGAAGGCATAATCAGTGTTACTGTGACATAATCCAAGTTGTCAACAACAGAATCATTGTGTATGAGGGGCAAACCTTGAGTTATCAGTAGGAGCCACAACAATGGCAAAAGCCTCGGGCACCATTACCTGAAATTAATTTAAGAGGAAAGTTCATACTGTGGCAATAATCTTTATAGCCTACAAGGGAAGCAATTACCAGTACAACTGCATTTTAAATGTAACTTCCACTTAAAAATTATTATTTTTGTTCCCTAAAAGATTGCAGTCTGAAAAATCAAAATATGATACATGGATTAAAACAAGTGAGATAAGTCAGTTATCCAGAGAGTGATAAACAGATTGGAATCTAGGATGATCTAGACCCAATCTTTGAGCAATAATTGGGATGCAAAAACAATTAACTAAATTACCTGATAGGAGTATTGAGTATGGAGATCTATAGATGACATGAAACAACTCTGAGAAGGATGTGTCTGAAGGCAAATAAGAAATGTAATACTGAGGTGAGTTTAAGAGCATAGAGGTATTTGCATCTGGAGATTTTACTTATATCTTGTAAAATCTATAGAGCAACGAAACAGAGATCTAAAGAAACTAATGAGAGAAAGGAATGGACATACATGTATCCATCCCACTGGAAAAAGGGACCGTTCATTTTGTATGGCAAAAATTTCCTCCTCATTTATAGCCTGACACTAAGTTAACAGCAGAAAGTGTTGAGCATAAGACAAAGTAAAACATTAAAGCGAATCAAGGCGTGAAAAGCTCCTAGTTATATACACTTACAGAATTTGAAGTTGATTCTTGTTTAGGTATTATCAGAGTGGTTACATAGAATGTCCCCTGTTCCTGTTTCATTAAGACAAAGGACGTGGATAAGTTGAAATAAAAATTCTTGCAAATTAGTTAAACACAGAAGTAAAAGTTCAGGAAAAAGCACCTCAAAGGCACCAACAAGAATAGGCAACTTTAATGATGTCATGCTGATTTTAACAGCAGATAAGTGCTTAGCCAAAAAATTAAAGGCAGACTAGCTCACCCAAATACAAATAAGAAACTCAAGGAAGATAAGAATGAAATAAATACCAGCTACAATGTTTAAAACATTAGCAGACATTAGTTCGAATACAGGAATAACTTCACCTAAATGATGCTATTGAAGGGTTTCCCTGGTAAGCCACATCAGGGGAAAATTTTTCAGGACTGGGCTTAAGTTGGTTATAGGTTGATAGTAATTTTTGTCAGAATAAGCAAACCTAGGTCCATGCTAGATTTCACTAAGTTTTAAACATGACAGAATGTAAGGATATATCTAATTCCACAAAAGCTTTGAGCTAACATAACAGCGGGCAAATAAAACAGCTAAAGTGACATTCCCACCTAACAAAATTTTCATTACCATTTAGAATGTTATGCTTCCACTACTTCAAATTTTTTCAAGATTTAGGTGTAGACAATTTTATTTTATAAACCCCAGGCAACACTGAAATTAAAGAAGCATTTGTTACAGAATGATCCTTACAAGAAAAGAACCAATTATGCCAACATACAGAGCAGCCCATGATTCTATAAATATCAACAGCATAAAACGACGTGAAATTGTGAATATTAAAGAAAGAAGCCATGAATCTTACAAGAAAAGCACCAAGAACACCACAGGTTTCCAGATCCTTCTCTGTGTTGTCCTTAGCTAGTTCAAGAAAATCCTCCATTAATCGAGCTGACTGAGAAAAACAAAAACAAAAATATATTGCAACAATTATCAGCTACTATGCCATTACAAGACAAAAATGCAAACTCCAAAAGAATAAATATCTTTGAAGGCATGAGACAAGCCGAAAGGATAAAAAAAAGAAGAGAAATTCTTAGGCAACCTTCAAGCTACAGGATACAACTGGAAATTACACTTTTTTTTTTTGGTTGTAAGGGGGGGTGGGGTCGGAAAAACCTTTAAAGGGGGTTATAAAAGAAAGACAGCAAAACTGTATAATTTAAGGGTTATTACTATATGAACATTCTGCAGCACCCTAGAAGCCTCTGGTTCATTATATGGCTGCTGGCCAGAATCGATTACACGTGAAACATGAGAATTTTGAGATGCATTCTCAGTGAAAGAGAGTATGGTAGAAGGAGAAGATTTAACAGAAAGAACTTTGATGTGCTTGCATGCGGTGGTTGTCTGATCCGGAACTGGACAAGGAGATTCATGTCCTGAGCAACTACTCGCAGTATCCAGTTCTTTACAAGATGCCCATCCAACTCTTTCCTCAATGACGATCCTTAAGCTGCTGTAATTAAGCCAAACAAATCTAAATTTGATATTGCTCATAAAAGAAAAGGTAACTTGGAATTGAGAAGGTAACTTTGAAGGCATACCATATTTAAGTAAGTACATAAAAATTATACCTTTGACTTTCTGTTTGAGCTATGCCGCAGCTTCTATCCTGTATAGAAAATCAACAAAAAATCACCCTTTTACATTTTAACTACAATTTGAGATAAAGAACAATTCCCTCTGATAATTCTAAACTTGTTAGTTATTCTCTGGTTTCCATCCCAAAAATGAAGTACAGATAATTGATTAGACTGCTAACACCATTGATAAAGTAAGCGTGGAAGTTTTTTTTCTCTAAAAGGAAAGTCATCCCATTTGCAAGTATTTTGAGATTCAAACTGCAGAAATCCCAGTGATAAAATAATGTTTAGCCATTCTTTTTGTTTCAATTGGGTAGATAAAATACTATATACCCTTCTCAAGTAATTAAAGTTTCCTTCCAGAAGAAAGGCAGATAATGCAAATAATATTGTAACAAAATAACATGTTATTAACTTTTATATAACTTTATTAACAGTCTTCTAACATTTCTTCCAGTTATAAGTATTATTCAGCCATTCAGTCATTATTATTATTCTTTGCCAAATTATATTTTAAAAACTCAAGCAGCATGGACATTAGATAATATAAGTAGCATTCATTCAAGTGCTACAGCACAGGACTTCGTAGAATTTTACCTTCTTCTCACTTATGCTTAAAGGGGCATAAATTTTTTGAGATTTTGAATCTTGGATGGCCAGTGGTTTCAAAATTTCCCTTCCGTCAACAAACTGGTACATCTGAGAGAATAAAATACAATAATATTAACTTTTACATTCCCAATATTAACACCATTTTGCAATTTGTCCAATATTCAGACTTCTAAATAGAGCCAGTATATTGCTGAACACAATTTAATGAGAAAGACAATCTAAACCATCATTTTTAATTTCCCATATCATGCAAAAGAACCAAAATTGTGGGGGTTTCATATCATTTCCTAGCACATTTGTGAAACTCCAAATCTGTCATTTCCCATTTTAAAACAAGTAATAGCATTAGAAGGTACAACACCTAGTCCTCATGTAGGATTATTTACCTAGCTGCAGTGAATCTCTCAGCTCGTCAAATGGGTTGAAAAACACTACGTCGATATCATTAAACGTTGAGAAATAAAATAAATCATCAATTAATTCATTTAGTTGTTTGTTTTGCTACATGCCTTTGGAAGGTGAGTTCAGTTAGGAAAGACAAAAGGAAATATATATACATATATATAACGAAAAATTCAACTGTAAAAAGTATATATGTATATATATATATATATATATATATATATAGATAACGAAAATTTCAACTGTAGAAAGTAGTAAATAAATAATTCAAAAAAAGAAATTAAAACAGCAATAGAGTCGCCATCACCAAAAAAATAAAATAAAATAAAAAATTGAGAATTCAACCGACAATTAATAATATAAACAAATGTAAACTACACAAATAAATAATTCCGTTAAATTTTTCAAGGAATTAGAAAGCTGATACAGACAAAGTCATAATACAAAAACCATAACTTTCAAAAGGAAAGGAAAACAAGATCGAGAAATCTTTGTACCTGCGAATATCTGTTGTTTGTCAGCTGAGAAAATCTTTAATCAAAGAGATAAAAATAAAAAGAATTCCAGTTTAAGAATGTTAGGCATTAGGCAGCCTGTTCCATGTTCCCAAATGTCCTCCTTTTTCTTTTTCCTTTACAATTTTTAATGTGTTATTATTTACGTTTATCCATGTGGCTTTCCGTTAAGAAAATGAATTCTGGGTTCGTCCTTGTGGGATTCGAGACCGGGCTCATCGCTCTATACTGGGCTAGAGATTGGACTGGGTTAAAGTTTTCTTAAATTTTTTTTATAAGCTCAAACTTTTCTTTTTTAGATGATATAAAATGGAATTTCTCAAATATTTTCATATAATAAAATAGGATTTTTTTTTTTGTGTAGATAAATTAATTAACATATAATACACTTATCATATACATGGGACGAGGGTATAAACGAATCAAGTTACTTAATGAGTTATTCAAGTTTAACTCATTTATCATTAAGTTGAGTTTGAATTGTTAAAGTAACGAATCGAATTACTCAAATTCAAATTTTTCAAATAACGAATCAAGCTAAATTCAAATAATTTAGTATCAAAATTGATAGGTTTGTAATTTTAATTAAGTTTTTATGTTTATAATATATTTAATATATACAAATAAATTATAAAAATATAGTATTTAATGTCATTATTTACCATTTTATCGAACTTAATTGAGTCGAATTTAAACTACTCAATTAAATTATGAGCTAAATTCAAGAAAAAAAATGAAGCTCAAATCGAATTTTGAGTCTTAAGTTTTTGAGCTAACTTGAACCTAATAATATATTCACTCAAATTGACTCAATTATACTCCTACATCAAATCACCATAATTTATTGGATGGATTACTAAAATCTTATAATTAATTTTTATGAATAAATGTTAAGTTTTTTTTATTTGAAATTATAAAAAATTAAACTCTAATTATTAAAATTAAAAAATTAATACTTTATTAACATATTCAAAAAAAGTGCCAACAAATTATAAGAGACAGAAGTAAACAAATGAAGTCCCCAATCTAGCAGTTAATCCTAGCTGAGACTGAGAGTTCAGTTTTGCACAGTTTTAGCAATATTGGACTCTGAGAGCTTAGTTGAATCTTGAATGGCTTCCTTAAACAGAGCAACAATATGATCGGTAGTTTTGGGAGTTTCTTCAAATTTTATAGAGTTTCTCTTCTTCCACATAAAATATAAAACATAAATGGATTGATCATGCATGTCTTAGAACAGTTGCTACCATAGATTTCCCCTTCAAATGATTGACAACCCATTGATGTTCAACATACCGATCTCCAACTGGTTTATTAATCTGGGATATCCGCATAATCTCATATCACACCTTATGAGAAAAAGTGCTAGCCAAGAAAAAATTATCCCTACACTAACGAACCAAGTTCAATGTTTAAAAATCAGATTGAATTTTTTTTTTTTTTTTAAAGATCGGATTGGATGTTGAATTAGTGGAACTTCGAACTTTCAATTCGATTTAATCAATTCAACCAGTCTAATCTAATTAAACAAAGCTTTTATTATTGAAACCATTAATTTTGTATTAAATAAATATTAAATACAGTACATATTTAACAATAACAATAACAAGCATTTTGTTAATGATTGAGTCATTAATTAACTAGTAAGTCAAAAATTTTAAAAATAATCAGTAACAACAATAATAAATTAAATCTTATATTTTATAACTTTGAGTTATAAAAAATTTTATATTAAATTGTAAATTTTAATTTTTTTATGTCATTTATTTTTATTAAAAATAATTTTTTATTTACTTTCTTAATTCATTTCATTTCTAATTATAAGAGTTTAAAAATTACCATTTATAAAAAAAAAAACTTTTAAATTATTTAAATAGTAAAATAAATGCTCAAAATCGGTTTAATGTTGAACCGGTTAGATTTAGCTGGATTTGACTGGATGTTTGATCTGTGTTTGACCAGTTAGACATTAGGATTGGATTGGCCATCGGTTCAACCTGTCTAACCGACCAATCCACTCTGATTTTTTCAACACTAACTAAATCACATGACTGGCCGGTATCTGAAAGGAGAGAAATGTGAAAAGGATTAAAAAAAAAAATTTATATTTTCTTTCTATAATATATGTTTGGGAGGAAATATGGAAAAGTGAAAGAAAAATTTGGTTTTTCATTTATTATTGGGTAGAGTTAAAAAGTTTTTTAAAAAATTATTATTTTATTATGTTTTTTATTAATTAAAATTAAAAGATAAAATATAAAAATAAATAATCTTGTAAATATACTCAGTTAACTCACATATCTCCATTTTTTTTTCATTATCATCACTACTATCATCATATTATGCAGTATTATCATAATTTTATCACATTATTATCACAATTATTTATTTTATTTTATTTTATTTTATTTTATTTTATTTTTAACGTACTTCCTTTGTCCTACTTTTTCCCTCTTCAATAATGTCTAGCTCATTTTTAATGAGAGCTTCTTTTATGTAAATTTATATGTATGTAAATATGCTATACATTACCAATACATCACATAATTATACATCATTAAAAAATTTAGTTTTAAAAATTTTAATCTTAAAAATATATTTAAAATTAATTTTTTATAAGATGTTATTATATAATTCACTAATAATATATAATATTTATACACTAACATTACATCAAATATTAATTTATGTATAATATAAAATAAAAATTTTGATTTAATTCCCAAAATTTCATAAAGAGGTAGGCCGAATTAAACTGAATCATGCAACGCATCCAATGAAAATTGCCCTGTAAATTGTAATTTGCCATTTTGGTGATGAAAAAAGTTATTTTACTGTTGCAATCGGATAGGTGGCTCGGAGACCAGGGATGAAGCATTTTCCAACATGAAATTGTAATCCATAATTTTAGAGGATAGAAGAAGCCCTTGATGTCTCACATTTCACTTAATTTCTTTATCCGATGGGAAGCCTTGAATTGACCCTTCTGCTCCCTTATTCTCTCATGCCCCTCATTTCTTTACGTATTCTCACAGACAAAGGATATTTTCAACCCCATTGTTTCTCAACCTAAAAGCCATCCACTTCCCTTCTTAACAATTCGAGGAATCCAAAAGCTGCCCATTGTTGCTGACCTCACTTTCAGCCTCCAAGTTATTTCATACAGTATTTGGTACTTCCCCTCTCTTCAATTCTCTCCCTCTAATTTTTTTCTGATAGTAAAACTTGAAGACCAAGTACTATAAGTCCCATAGTTATGTCCGAAAAAAAGAGGTTGTTGGTGTAGTTCTCTTCAGACTAGGTGACCCCATCCAACTTCCAGAAATAAACCAACGAGAACATAAAAGAAAACAGGAAAAGACGAAAAGGAAAGGAATATTGAAGAGGTTGAGGCTTGAGAGAGATTAGTAGATAGAATAAATAATGTGAATGTCCAACTATTCTTTGCTTCATTTCTATTTAGTAATTTATCCCATGAGCCTAATTCATTATTGAATTCATTCATTCATTCTTACTTAACGTTATAATTCTGATTTGATAACAGGTTTTAGGTGACAAGGTCGGTGAGGCATTGAGAGAGAGGTATGCCCTAATCGCCAATAATGATTTTTTTTTTAATTTTTTATAAAACTGTCAAAAGTTCATAAATTTTGGATAACTCGATTTTCAATTATGTTCCTTAGGTTTTCTTACTATAGTTTGAATCTGTTTGATAAGTCAAACAGGGTAGTTACTTGAAAGGAAGGCAAAGAGAAAAACCCATGGCTGGAAAATTTACAAAGTGTATGATGCTATGTTGTCCGGCAAAGGTCTTGGTAAGATCATACATATCTCACTTTTGCATTAATTCCCTTTTTTACCGATTGCAAAAGTTTTGGTGGCAGTTCACTCATAAACATAACGATGCAAAATAATGATGGCAAGATTTTATTTGTTAATGTTAGTACTTATTAATATTCTAAGATAAGAAAAAAACTGAATCTGAAACTTATTTCAAGTAATTTATTTAATTACAATTAAGAAATAATATTCAATTCATTCGTATACTTATCTTTTTATTTATCTCTCAATTGTGGCTGAAAAAGATACAAAACCTATTTATACATACAGCTTATCAAGCCTTTTATATTTTGAAGTTATTAAAACTATTCTTACAATTAAAAAAGTCATTTAGTGACTAGCGTGGGAAAACTAATTAAGAAAGCAAATGGTAATGTTCAATAGGATTGATTAAGAATATAAATGATATATTAATAATCATAAGTTACTTAAGTTTAATTTAAATAAAATTTAAATTCAATTCAATTATTATCAAATTAAATTCGAATTTGAATTATTTGACTCAACGATCAAGTCGATTTCAAATATTTTTATATTCGATTTCAGTATTTCAAGAACTTAATCAAATTTTTATATTTAAATATATTTTTATTATTTTAATTAATAAAATATATCAAACTCGAGCTAAAGCTCAAGCACATATAATCGAATTTTTATCAAATGTAAGAATTAAACTTATTTTTATATATTAATCAAATCTAATCAAACAAATTTAAATAACTTAATTTTTATCTTGAATAAAATTTATGTTAAAAAAATAAAATTCGATTGAATTTAAATTAATTTTTAAATTTTAAATTTTAAATTAAATTCAAATTTACATTTAATATTATAATGACTCAAACTTCGATTACATATCTAAAATTAATCACAAGAAGGCATGTGACCCAATAGCAGTCATGCACTGCTACTTCACAAGGAATGATGAACCGGTAAGTTAAAACCTTTATGGAGCCAGTTTTTTTTTATTAAATTTAACCCTTGACTTTTCCCAAGCTTCCAAACAAAATTTGTGGGCATTCCGAGGTAGGTTTAATTGCTGGTTTTGAAAGGCTAACCAGGAGCTACCACGTACACCAATCGATTAAAAGGTTGGAACTGAAAATCCTTGAAACATTTGGCCCATTTCAGTTTGAAGTTTTGGCCACTAAATTATGGAGAGAAGAGAAATCATATTTGGTGATCATAGACTTTTGGTTGATAGTGATTCAGAATAGGATAGGCTCATATTTGGAGCTGAATAATGTATGGTTGAGAATTATCTTAATTAAATTTTATATTCCTCAGTGTGGTCACTGCCAGTGGTAGTGGTAGTGGGTGTTGGGGAAGGATAGAGAAGTAAATTCAATGGCCATGGGAGATAGAAAACGCTTTGCGCATTCTCACAGCTAAATCATGATAATGCAAAAACACCACTTTTAACCATTTTTACGTCAACGTTGCACATTGGGTCGTCTAAAACAATTACTCAAATAGTGGAGTCGATTAGCACCTACATCTAAATACACCACTCAACCCTCCACTCTTATTTTTTTTCCTTTTTTGTTTGAACTTTACCCTCCACTTTTCTATCAAAAAAAAAAAAAAAACGATCCACCTTCATCATACAATTGGAGAACTATGTTGAATTTTTTTATAAAAAAAAATAATGAAATGAAAAAATTATAAGTATTAAAATTTAAATTTTAAATTTATTAAATATTTTTTTATTATATGAATCAATTAAATTAAATTTTAAATTTAATTATATGATATTTTTTATATAATAAAAAATATAAGTTCTTTAGTTAATAAGAAAATTTAATTAAAGAAATTAGTAAAAATATGAAATTAAATTAACTGATGGAAGTGGACCGCCATCCCCTTATTCTTTAACTACCCTTCTAGCACTCAAAAGAAGAATATTAAAAGGAAAAAAAATAAAAATAACAAGTAGAAAATTACCCTTTTAAGGGTGCAGTCAACCTTCTACTTGCTTATATTTCTGTTCTTTATATTTTTTTTTCTATCCTCCCTTTAATTTTTCAAGTCCAGAATGGAAAGTCATTTTTCCCACAAGTACGCACATGGTATTAGACTACCATTTTAATTATTAAATATATTATTTCAATAAATAATTGTTATAGTAGTATTTAATTAACTAATTTGTTTTGAATATTTATGTTGGCTTTTAATAGTTAATGTGAATGCAAAATGTTACTATATATAACAATCCATATGATATTTTAACTGTGAATGATGTGGGTATTTTCAATATTCATAAAAGAGAGTTTTGCTTGTTTTTACATTTGATTAAAGTCTATTAAACTTAAGCCACTCAAAAGAGAGAATGTTCTCCTATTGCATAAATCAAATCATTTTTTTTTGGAAATATGTAATTGTCAATAATTAAATTATGATTATTAAAATTATGAATTTAATATTTTATTAACAAATCACACAATTATTAATTCAATTCAATCAATTTCTCTCATAATTTAAATTAAATTCAAATTTTGAAAAAAGGAAAACATAAAAATAACTTGATGAGATATAATTAAATCTCAAGTCTAAATTATTTTATATAGTTACATCAAATACAACTTGGTAAATGACGACAATTTTGTATTGAATGAAAATTTTTCTAGACGTTCCATTACGTGGGAGATGACCACAGCAAGTGGATCTGTGGATAATAATGTACTAATTAAAAAAATATTATCATTAATTAAATAATAAGCACTTTTGATTTAACAAACAATCATAATAATTAGTTTGGTCTATTACCGTTGTCCTCACGTTCGCAAATCCCGCCACGTGGCAAACTTCACGCGTCTTATTTGACTCTGCCGGAACACCCGGTATCTGTGGCTCCCTAACTTCGACAAAGGCGTTGTTTCCTTTTCTTAAACAAGTCGCACACCGCCCGATCATCATCTAAAAGCCAATCAAACGGACCACAATAAATAAAACTACACCCGCAACACCATACCATTTCTCCTCGTAGACTGTCAATTTTGCTTACCATAAACAAACGCAAGATAAACGCGTCGACCTCTCCTGTCTAGTGTAATGAAGCCAAACTTTCCTTTCTTCAAACTTACCCATCCTTAGGTTTAACCTTTAGATTATTTCATTTACCATGTTAATTAATAAACCAGTACAAATACAGAGTGCCAATCCAATCTGTCGCTGAAGCAAAAAAAAAAAAAAAAAAGATTGATTATCATCAACTTATCAGGTTGGTGAAATATTTCTCTCCTTATTATTCCCAAATTCTGAATCAGAAACAAGAATCTCAAAGTTTGTAAAACAGAAAAGGTCATTAAAGGTAGTGATTTTTTTCCCAGAAACTGTTCACAGCTTTTTAATCTTTAATCTTTTGCGTTGATCCCGATTCAGATCACCTTCATCTACAGCTTCACCTTTCCATTCCTTTCTTTTTCTCTTCTTACCAATGGCTTCCCTGAATTGACTTAACGTTTTAGTTTGACAGATCACGATGATTAATATTTATAATTGTATGAATTTTGAGATTCCTTTTTTTTTTTTTTGAGGTAACAGAAAGAAGAAGACATGGGAAGTAAGTCGTACGAGGACGCGATTGCAGCTTTGTCGAAGCTTCTCAGGTATTTAACAGTGCTGTCCTTTTAACATTTCTCTTTCCGTTCCGAACCTTAAAAACGGAGAAAAGCCAAGGATTTCATACCCGGGACGGTAATTTCATAAAAATTGCCGTCCTTACGTGTCATTTTTACGGTTTTATCAACGTGGTAAACCTTGTTTTTTTCAGTTACGTTGTCCGACTGTAGGGCCTAGGATTGGATAATGGTCTTTTTGTCCCATAACCGACAATGAATTGTAACTCTGAAACACTTTTTTTTTTTTTATAATGATGCGTCCTCGGTTGCAGAGACAAAACTGATCTCGGCAGCGTCGCCGCCGCAAAAATAAAAAAGATAACAGCCGAGTTAGAGTCAGCTGCCTGTCCCACTCAGTTCGACGCGGTCAAGCGGATCGAAACCGGTTTCCTTCACTTCAAGACAGAAAAATATGAGTAAGTTAATAAATTTACTACTTGGTATGTATAATCTTATCTAAGCACAAAATAAAAAAAATAAAATAAAAATAAAAACGAGTAGTGGAAGTTTCTTCTCTTTTGCGCTGATCGTGGAATTTGCCTGATCGTTTTGGTTTCTTCTTGTTTTTTTCTAATACCTTTTTATTTAAAGTGCCGTAACTGCCTTCTTTTTTCATGTGCTCATTCGTCTTTCCAATTCGACGAAGCGTTATTAATGGCTTTCTAAAAAGAGATTAAATTTGGATAATTCGAGAAAGTGGATTTGGCAATGGTGACAGCGAATGAATTGGCAGTTGCAGAAAAGAGAAAAACATGTGGTTGAGTTGAGAAATTGGCTGTCTGCATTTTCCTTTCTTACAATTTTTTTTTCCAATAATAATTAATTAAACTGGTATATGTTTGGATCGAGTGTTTTTTGCAGGAAAAATCCTGATTTGTACGGTGCACTTGCCAAAGGCCAAAGCCCCAAGGTTCGTCCTGCTGTTATCATCGTTGGTCAACCCTTTTTCTTGTATTTTATTTTTACCAACCCTTTCAGACAACATTTGAACTTTACTTTACACGGTAAATGATGTGAAAATTAAGGCAGATGAGTTGGATTTTGGTACCAGATATTTACCAGAGATTTGTAGTATTTCTTATTAATTAATGGAATTAATTCAAGTACAATGCATTTAGTTTGAACCAAGGATATAATAACTCAAGTTAGAACATTTATGGTTGCGTGCTTTATTTGACGAAATGGGACGTGTATGGCCATAGTTTGCACACTTTTGAATGGCGGGGAGAGGAAGAACTAAGAGGAATGAATATTCAACCGGCAATTTTTTTACGTGTTACTTTTAGATAGATAGTGGCTGTCTGTTTTTTCAGAAGAAGAGTTTGACAAAAGTGAAGTTACAGTAGCTTTCACGACTTGCTTTCTTGTTTTTTTGGGTGCTCAACATGTATGATAAATCAAGTTATGGGTCGATTCAAGCCTCAAGGAGTACTGCAACATTTTCATCCGTGAATTTTTTTTTCTCTTTCAATTCAATAATCATTATATTATGCAATATGAATGGTATTAGTGAACATAGTAAGCTAACTCTTTTTATTTTTGAAAAAAAAACCATTTTTGTACAGTTTATGGTATTTGCATGCTCGGACTCTCGAGTCTGCCCCTCTCACATCCTGGATTTGCAACCAGGGGAGGCTTTTATGGTCCGAAACATAGCCAACATGGTCCCGCCCTACGACAAGGTTCGCCTAATTTTTACATTATTTATTTCTTCACGCCATTTGGACAGTCTATATCTGTAATTCGCCAATTCAAAGGATGACCTTTACGACCCAATCCAATTCCTTCTTACTTTTAACTAATACTTTTATCAGTTGATTTTTTTTCCAGTGTATTTTATGTTTTGACTTGCTTTGCATACTGTAGACAATGTACTCTGGAGTTGGTGCGGCCATTGAATATGCAGTTCTGCATCTGAAGGTGAACAATTTTACTTTATAAGCTCAATTTGCTATCTTTCTTTTCTTTTTTTTTTTTCTTTTAATGATAGTGGATGTTGACTCGTTGGTGGGGGCAACGTGACAGGCATGCTCAAAGTCTCTCAAGTCTTAAATGCTTTACACAACAACCTCAACAGAAATGGCTCTGTTTCCTTTTACTTTCTAAAAGGAAAGACTGTATATTTAAAACCAGTAGAGCCATATCTATCACCTTGAATTTTCATCAATTGCAGGCTTCAGTATTACAAATGTAGTAATTACTGATATAGTTCAACTTTGAATTTAATTAGTAGTAATAAACAAATTGAAGTGTGGAATGGTGAAATAATGAATGATGAATTGATCAATGATATGTATGATAGTGGGGTGAGGAGCTCTTTTGCTTTTTTTTCAACACGATTTGCTATCTCAAATTTCAGCTTTTGGAATTTGATGTGTAAAAGAGAATGTTTGCTTTCAGGTGGAGAATATTGTAGTTATTGGACACAGCTGCTGTGGTGGTATCAAAGGGCTCATGTCTATCCCAGACGATGGGACCACTGCTAGGTAAGACCTCTATCAATGTGGCATAAAAGCAAATTTACCATATTTAAAATTCTTTTTTTTTTTTTAAGAATCTCAATAAAATAATCAAAATATATTTCAGATTATGGAATAGATAAATAAAATAATCAAAAGTATTCAGTATTTTGACTTTTCAGTCTCATAATCTCAATAGTTCCCACGCGATATTACTGTATATTCTCTTTAGTGAATTATCGGTAACTAATAATTATAAGCTGATAAGAGAGTAGAAAATGCATTTTTCCCTTGGCACCACATTCTTGGAGGCATCTAAAATGGCAAATAAAGCAGGGAAAGAACTTTTGAAAAGTTTAACTCTCATCTTGCTTTTGGATTCTGGAACATACCAATGCAAGACATTGGGGTCCATTTATGGGCTTTTAAACAATCATATATTAGCAAGAACTTTGTTAAAAATGGTTGTTTCTGTCTTACATTTTTTATAATACAATATGTTTTAAACCTGCTTCCTTCTTCAACCCGTTTTTCTTGTGACAGTTTAGCATGAATGGACTTGAAAGTTTAGGCCTGATTGGTCCTCTTCTCTCCTTTTGTAGATACTTTAGCATATAAAGGATACCAGAACAGATTGAAGACTAATGAAGGTTTATAATTATTACTTTTTTTTTATTATTTATGCTTGAATTTAAACTTTGCAGTGATTTCATAGAACAATGGGTTAGCATCTGTGCACCTGCAAAGACCAAGGTGAAATCAGAATATAGTGGGCTGAGTTTCTCAGAGCAATGCACCAACTGTGAGAAGGTGACATACATAAGTACATCATTTCATTTTTTTTGGCACTCTTAGAAATTAATGTTTGATATTGTTTTTGTTTTCAAACTAATGCAGGAGGCAGTGAATGTTTCTCTAGGGAACCTACTGACATATCCATTTGTGAGAGAGGCTGTATTGAAGAACACCCTTGTCCTAAAAGGTGCACATTATGATTTTGTTAATGGAAAGTTTGATCTCTGGAATCTCAACTTCCAGATTACACCCACTTTGGCTGTATGAGTATTTTGCATTTTCCCCATATAGTAAAGCGTCTTTTGCTATGCTGCTTGTATATTCCCCCATGAATACCATTCCCAGAGAATAAAAGTGGTCGGGTCATATCTTGTTCCACTCTGTGTTTAATTTCCTCTGTGAAAAATGCAAAGAGAAAGTCCTGCTTTGACTAGACAAAAGAAAATGTTGAGTTAATGCTTTGGGTTATAGCCCATGTTTGTTTTTCTTGCCTTTTATTTATTTATTTATTTATTTTATTATTCTTGAAGAATAAAGGTAATACACTAGTGGAATATGAACTCTGAGCAATCATTTTGAAGGAACAATTCTGAAACAGAGGGAAAAAGAAAGATAAATAATGAAACAGATCTGCCCCTCCCTAGATCATAAACTCGTGATTTGCTCCAAGCAGTAGTTGTAGCTAAAAAGAAAGCCTATTTGAAGGGCTAATTTGCAAAAACAATAGTTGTATAAATGATGTGTTTCATGTTTGTGGCACAAGGCCCAAATTAATTTTTTATTACTCAGACAGTGTTGAATGTTTCACCAACAAAAGAAATGAATCCGCATATAAAAGAACAACACCTTTCTAGGGCACTATGTTACCATCGCTAATTATATTTAATGGGTTGGGGTCGTTGTGGAGGCGCCCTTTGCCAATAAAAAAAAATACGTGGATGGAAAATTATTCTGTCAGTTCTCCATGGTGTTTAAAAACTATCAAAATTAATGGTTGAGATGCGAATTTTACTAAATTTAATGGAAAATTTAATGAAAAATCTAATTTTAATATTAATAGAGATGGAGATGAGTATTAAATTTTAAAATAAAAATAAAAGTAAATTTAATTTTAAATTTTTGTCGAGTATGAATATAAAGATGAATAATATTCGTTATGTATTTTATAATTTATACATATTTAATAAATTAATTTTTTATTTAATAATATACATTTTATTTTAAATTAATTAAAGCTAATATTTATGTATTTTAAAAATATATTTATAAAAAATTACATTAATGTACAAAATGAAAATAAAAATAACTAAAAAACTAAATTTTATTTTTTATTTTTTTTTAAAAAATATGGGTATAGAAATTAATCATACTCATTAAAAACCTATGAAAATGGAAATGAAAATGAAAATGAAATTGAAATATCCATTGAGTATGAATATTAAGATAGATATAATATAAAAAGTAAAAAATAAAGATAAAAAATATTTTATCCATCTTGTTTTTATTTATTGACATCTTTTATTAACAAAATAATGCATATTTTATGAAATATATTAAATAAATTAAAAATATTTAAAATATAATTTTTTAAATTTCAATTGTAAAATTAAAAATGTTACTTATATCACAAACAAGTTATTTTATTTTATTTTATTCGTTTTTATTTTTTATTAATTTTTGCAAAAAATAAAAATAAAAAATAAAGCCAACTAGCAAACAAACCTAAATTGAAGAGAAAAAGTCTTGAAATCAATATCCTACTTTTTCTAGTATCTGGTTCCAAGGGACATAGGAACTTTCTCACTTACCAATAAGGTAACATGTAATAGATGCTGCCATCGATAAACTTCGCTACAAATTTTATAATTTAACACAAGATTGCTGACATTAGTCCCACGTAATCTTGTCTCCTCAGAAATGTTAAGTCCATTTTGTCCTTACTATTTAAATTTTTATTATTATTATTTGGTTTGTTATTCAAAGAACTCAAAAGATAAGGATTGGGTGAGAGTGGGTCATTTGGATGGATAAACATCTTAAGTTGGAGCTGCAGTCGCTATTGTACCAAAATGTTCACTGCTGAGGCTTACAAATACATTATAAGGGGCATTCTTTGTACGGGCTCAAATAAAAACTCTATCCTAGCATTGAACGTGATTCATTACATAGTTTGGACTTTTGGTGATCCTAATTACAATATATTATTGGGGTTAGATGCAACAAATAATTTTCAGTTTCTAGGTATTAAGCAGAAAATAACCAGAGCAGATAAAAGAAAAAAATGCTGGAAACATATCAAATAATCATCTTTCAGTTATTCCTTGATATACTATCCATATGAGCAAAGCAAGCTGGTAGCTATGGGTGAATGCGGAACGATCACAGGTCAGAGCTATGGCGTGCGCACACACACAAAACAACAAAATCTTTGCAATCTTTTATTAAATTTGTTTTCACACATTGTTGGACCACAAAGTAGGTCAATAAGACATAATTCAGTACGTCAACATGCGGCCAGTGGGAATTGAAGTGATTCTGAATGTGACATAAGGCATAGCCATTTTCCTGCTGTGGACTTTTCTACGTTGGATTCAGGATTGAGCCCTTGGCATTTTGCAATCATGTAGAAGCAGCTAGCTAATCATCGTTACTTGTCTGCTTTGATAAGGTAAGGGATAGGAGAGACTCCCGGCTCTCAAGTAATTTGAGGAGTTGATTTATGAAGATTGTCACTTCTCAGCCCAAGTCCACATCTGAGCTTACAGGCTTGAGTCAGTGGGATAGGCCGATTCGGGCAATTTAGGTAAATACGGCAGTCCACGAACCTTAAGAGTTGAGCTACCAATGAGAGATAATGTTATACTTCTAACTTTGAACATCACACTTGAAAATGAAAATTTCTAGTTCAAACTGTTCAGTATCCTCTTGAAGACATTTATACAGTCATTTATTCATTTCTCTTAGCTTAAAATACCAGCCACCAGGACAAGAATAGCTAGGTGCATCAAGGCATTGATCTATCGGAACCAAAGGCCTTCCATTGCATAAAATCCAGCTTGATACTGTGATATCGTACTTTGATAATGAAGGCTAACTTTACCTATCCATTCCACCGTATGAGAGTATATTTCCATGATTTCATTTGTTAATCTTAACTAGAAATCTACCAATTACACTAAGCAAAACGTATGAAAGTATCAAGCAAAATCTCATAACATCTTATTGATTGAAATACACTGGCATTTGCTGTTCATAACTATAGAGGGGTTAGCAGCATGCAATACAAAATGGTTGTTTCCCTCTCTTTGTTTCATTTGACTTACGGAATTGGGTGTATAACTACCTTTCCTACAGCACGATTCGTTTCAATGTAAGAGAAAGCCTCAGCAACCTGAGCAAATGGGAATGGCCCCTTGGGATCAACAACTGGCTTCACTTTCCCACTCTCTAAATATGGATTTAGTTTCTTGAGAACCTCTCCATTGGAAGTAACCACAAATCTAAAGCCAGGAGGTGTGACAGCACCAGTTAGGGCCACCACACTGCCACCTTCTTTGATTGCCTTCACTGCTCTGTCACATTGCCCTGTAATTAAAAAGGAAAACAATTACATATGCAAACCAATCCCGGAAAACCTCACTTCCCTACAGTTGAAAATGAGAACGTAACTTGAATCTGATTTAGAGATGCATGCACATAGTTTAGAGACAGTTCTAATGGCTATAGCACTAAAAAAATGAATGAAACAATGTTTTTGGCAAACAGAATGCGTTGAATATGAGTAATCTTGTATGATTGACTCACTGAAGTAAAAGGAATATCCGCATTATATTTTGTAACGATCCTTTATGATTGAAAATAATGAAAATACTATTCACGAAAAAGGATATTAGAGTAAAATATTACCAATGGCATCATAAACAACATCAAATTTTTCTGGTAAATCTTCAAATTTCTCCTTTGTGTAATCAATAGCCAAGTCAGCACCTAAGTTCTTCAACAACTCAAGTTTTCCTGTGCTTGAAGTGGATGCAACTCTTGAAGCACCAAATACTTGTTTTGCTAGCTGCAGAAATATGAAAGTAAGTGTACAAGCACTAGAATGCGCAAAGCCTATTGCTTGACAAACTAATAACTTCAGAACAACTTCCAAACTTTTGAGGCAATTGTCACATTTTTTTACAGAAGATTTTGACGTATCTATTTTTGAACTTAAGAAGAAGAAACCGGCACTCTTCATTAGGCATTTAACATTCATAAGATAAAAAATTAAGTTTTCTCACACCAGAATTTTCTTACAAATCTGAATTGATTTTGTTTTTCCAGCAATGGCAGGCCAAAATGATCAATGAGGATGGGATATCATACCTGAATCACTAAGCTTCCAACACCACCGGCACCATTCAAAACAAGAATGGATTTACCTGCTGAAAACCCAGTCCTTTCAAGACCCTCATAGGCTGTCTCAATAGCAAGAGGAAGCCCAGCAGCCAGGAAAAAATCCAGATTCTTTGGCTTTAATGCCAGCAGCTTCTCTTCAACTGCAGTGTACTCAGCAAGGGAACCAAACTGTTTAGGCCCTTCTAATGCTTTCTCATTTATGTTTCCATACACTTCATCTCCTTCCTTCAGCACCTTTACTTGACTTCCAACCTTTACAACCACACCAGCAACATCATAGCCTGGAACAGTCTACAGGCAGACCAAGTTAAAGAACATTTCATAATTTACAGATAAAAAATACAGATAAAAGATATCCTTAGTTAATAGATAGAATATGCAAGCAAACCAACATGGGAAGAAAAACTAAGGGTTACTTAAATTCATTATTTTCATACTTTTCTCCTTTAAATTCAATAAGTCGTACTTCTAAAACAATTTGGCTATTCAATTCAGTTCATGAATAACAAAATAAAATAAGTTTTCAATTTTATGTCCTTTTAATAAAGGTTCAGAGTTCAGATTTTCAGAAAGACACTCTTTTAAATCTCTTTTAAATTGCATCTATCATTGGGGACAGCTGCAGAAAACTAAAATATTCAATACAAAAGAATTCGAAGTTGCTTTCATTGAGAGTCGAACTCAAGACCTCCCGCTTACTAAACGGGTGCTCTAACCAACTGAGCTATGAAAGCAATTTAATTAATGACAGTGTTACGTTTCCACCATCATACTCTATTTAACTAATGATAATTAAGAAATATATTTCCCACTAAAGTTTGGGCCTTTACCAATACTCCAAGGTCGTTTCCAATGGAAAACCTATTATCACTAAACTTCAATCCTATTCCCCACATTTCGTCATCAACCATGCTAACCCCAAAACAAATTTTGCATTAAAACTAGGAGAAGAAAGAAATACTAAAAGAAAAGAAAAAAAGAAAGGAGAATTACCGGAAGAGGAGAATCGGTAGCCTTAAACTTGCCCTGCCTTCTCTTGGCATCAACGGGGTTAAGAGCAGCAGCAACCACTTTTATCAAAACCTGATCTTCCTTCACTTGAGGAACCGCCACTGTCTCATCAAACTTCAAAACATCAACACCTCCATATTCCCCGTATACCCAAGCCTTCATTTCATTAGGAACAGTCGTTGCTTTGGTTACTTCAGTAGAAGCAGGGGCAGCAGCCTGAGAATTCGCACTGACCTTTAGTGGAACATAAGAGAACGAGGGTAGCGTGCGCCTCAGAATAGAGCTGGTGTTTAGTTTCCTTCTGTTATCCAGAAAAGTTAACGAAACGTTGAACAGAAATGGTGAAGAAGTAACAGTCCTGAGTTGGAATGTCGTTGATGGAGGTGCGGCTTTCATTTTTCGAATTTGCTAAAATCTGTAAGTCTCAACTCAAAGCCAATGTTTATCTCCACCTTTTTTTAATCTCTCCTTGTTTGTGGCTTATAATCCGTCGATTTATTAATATTTTATTTTTGTGGTTTTGTATGGAGAAAAAACGAAAAAATGAAAAAAAATATATATAGAAAAGGAATATGATTACATGTATGGTAACGATTTGCACAAGAGTTTGACTAGAGCCGGTGCTGAGTTTCCTTATGTTTTTTGGAAAAAGTGAAGCAAAGGTTGAAAGAATGCGGTGGTGAAGTCAAAGACTTGAGTTGCAAAAATCACAAAGCCTCGAATGCAAGGGGATATCTCTTTTTCCTATCTCATAAAATTAATTATTTTATTATTAAAATATTAGAAATTTTCTTTATATTTATATTTTATATTTTACAAATATTGTAAAATTAAATAAAAATTAATTATTTAATAACAAAAATATATTCACAAACAGAGCTGGATTAATCCGGGGCTTTAAAACTCATCTAGAGTTGGACCTGATCCGTGGACAAGTTTAGGTCGTACTTGGGAAGGAATATAGAGGAAAAAAGAAAGAGTCAAACGACACCGTTGTGTGTGAAAAGTATTAAATGTATTTATACAAATCTGACTTCCTTCCAATAGCCGACTGTGGCTGCACCAGCTGCTAAGCGTTGTTTCTCAAACAGGTGTCTGTCATTCTTTAACTCACTCTCTCTAATCCCCGATTCGAATTCGATCTTCAGATCTCCAAAGGTAGCTTCGAAACCCTAATTCTTTTAACTCTTCCTCATTATTCTTTAAATTTATTTTCTTTCCAATTTGAAGTTTTTTATTTTCGTTTGATTTTCATTTGAAAATTTTACTACCGTTCGTTACCATTCTGTTAGATGATCAGAAACGAGAATCAGAGGACTCTGATTCGTTAGATTTTATTCTAGTTTTTCTCGATCTGTCTGTTTTTCTATCAAAATGTAATTTTTCGGGAAAAAGTTAGGGATTTTACTGTTCTATATAAAGTTATTGGTTATGATTAGAGTTTCAAGTTGCATAGATCTAAGTATTGCCTTGGATGCTAAATTTAACTTTTTTTTTTTAACTAACTGTTTGGATCATGAATTTTGTTAAAAATCAATTGGAGTTTCAAATCATATTTTTAACCCAAATTTGTTTGTTTAGATTTGAAAACATTCTAAATGTGAAATGCAGTAAATCATCTGCTGTAATTCCCCACTTATCACATGGTTAAGATGCTTATTTTATATGGTGCTTTTTTTTTTTGTCAAAGCTGGTTTTTCTTGTAGTTTCGTTGATGATCCATATCTCCATGTTTTCTTTTTGAAGGTATTGAAATGGCGGAATCAAAGCCATTGAGAAAACCTGTTTTCACCAAGGTGGACCAACTTCGCCCCGGCACTAGTGGTCACACTCTTACTGTCAAGGTTGTCAGTACAAAGATGGTATTGCAGAAGGGTCGTGCTGATGGTCCTCAAGTTCGTCAAATGCGAATTGCTGAATGCTTGGTAGGAGATGAGACAGGAATGATTATCTTTACCGCTAGAAATGAACAAGGTATATTCTTCTCCTGATGCACGTTTAATTTGGGCAGTAGTTTTACTTTTGTTATTGCTAGAGGCTTCACTTGTCATGCATCTTACTCTGTTGCATTTAGTTAGTTTTATGTTTGATTGTGTTATCTCTCATGCAATTGTGCTGTCATTCACTGCTTTTGTATTTAGTTCTCCTTTTCTTTTATACAAGTAATACAACATTGGTTTCATATAGTTACACTGCTATTCATGGAAGCAAATTGTATTTGATGTGATTATATTTTTTGTTGCCTCATGGAAGAAAAGAAGTGATGATTTGGTTTTGGTAAAATTCCTTTAACACAGTTTATCTGACAAGGAGGTCTATTTAAGGTTGCTGATAGTGTTTTGGAATGAAATAAATGCTAGTTGTGTTTTGCAATGACAGACTATTAGTTTGGTCAATTGACTGTTCAGTATCATGGCTGATATATATTGACACATTTTAATGATATGAGTCTTCCGAGTCTATGAACTTCGACCACAGAAGGCTTTCTGTACGTAATGATTATTCAATTACATTAAGTTTGACCTTGGCCTTCTGTCGCTAGTCATGACTTGGAATAAATAAATGCTAGTTGTGCCTTTCAGTCATAAGTATGTGCTAGAGTGAAATATCCTTTTGAGTATTTTCGTTCGGCTAGGCTTTCAGCTATTTATTTCTTTGTAGCCATGTCTGAGATTTTAGTGTTAAAATTCCATTTACCTCTAATCAGTGCAAATGTTAAATGGCATCAATTATGATGCCGTACTCTATTATGGTGTATTTTTGAGCTCAGAGAGATTACATTTGAGGTGTTCAAGTGCATTCTGCTGCATATACTTATGATTGATTTTTTTTTTTTGGCCGGTGTGATTGAATTCAATCATTTTTTTTTCCTGTCCTTCTTACTGATGCAAAAACCCCTTTTCTGAATTAATTTGAAGCAGGGAAGGAAAATTTTTTCTGGATAATTGAATTTTATTCCAACATCCAAAAAAAGATGAATAATTTGCTTCAAAGTTTTACAAGCTGAGAAGTCACCAAGAAACAGCAACTAAGAGACTAACTTGGCTGGATTATACCCCAGCTTCTAAATATGTCATTAGGGAATATAATAGAAGAAGAACTAACAATAGCTTGAATATCTACTACAATCTGTTGGAATAGAGCTCCTGGAGACTTGGGTTTTCCAGAGTGTCTTCAAGGGTTGTTTTCCTTCCGAACATAATGCATGTATGCAGTCCATGCGAGGCTAATAAGATAGACTAAGGTGATTTCCCTCTGAAATTGTTGATTGCTAAACTAAGCTTATCTGATCAGCTACTAGGTGCTCTTGCAATATTAGAGGTCTGTGAAATGCTCTGCCATATACAGCCCTTGGATAACCGCAAGAAAGAACAAATAATCCCTGCACTCCTCATTACAAAGAATACAAGTAGTGGAGTTCACTGATATACCCCAAGCCTTAAGTCTTGAAAGTATGCTCAACTGGTATAGAATTGCTAACCAGGCTATCAAAGAAAACTTTGCACATGCATAGGGAATCAAATTAACCAATTTGGGCTGTGAAATTTCATATGTATGAGATTTTACCTGGTAGTGATTATGAATATGTTTCCTCAATCGTTTCAAGATTTCCTTGATTTGATATTATTCATTATATGGTGTTGTCAGACAGTGAAGGCGACAAAACATGCTTTATTTGTTCAAAGATTACAGTGTTAATTAGAGCTAACACCATCTTTATTTTTTAGTGGACTTGATGAAAGAAGGTACTACCATAACTCTTCGCAATGCGAAAATTGACATGTTTAAAGGATCAATGAGGCTTGCAGTGGACAAATGGGGTCGTGTTGAGCTTGCTGAGCCTGCTAGTTTCACTGTGAAGGAAGATAACAATCTCTCACTGATCGAGTATGAGCTGGTTAATGTTGTTGAAGAGTGACCTTTCTGGACCCTCTCTGGATGGTGTTTGCTTTGCTTCAATATTGTAAACCAAGAATAAAATCAACTCCAGTAAACGTGTTACTCTGATCTACACGACATCTCATCTTCAAAAGTCTCATGGAAGTTCATTTTTAGGAAGAAGAAATCTGGAAGCTAGTGTAATACTCGAAGTTGCTTCTTGCCCTTGCAGCGAATCCAGCAGAACCTCTTGGTTGGACATCCATACAGATGGCGATGGCTGTAAATTTTAGAGTTAAAAATAACTAGCTTTTGGAACTTGCTTTCATTTGTTTACTTTTGTTTGTTGTTTTTTTTGTTTTTGGTATTTAGATTATACTTAAAGTAAGTCTAATATTATGTATGCCTTCATACTTCATACGGCTCGCGTTATTTCTTTCCAAGTAATATCTAAATGATATGACATAAGACTTTTTTTTTTCAATGGGGAAGGGGATTCGAACCTTTTTTTTTAGTAGGGGAATAGGTGCAGCTATGATTGAGCGAAATACTCAAGTGCAACGCATTTCATTTTCTAACTTGATAGCATTCTATGCTACATAGCATTCTCTGAGTTCATGTTAGGACTGTATGCCTGACTTTGTTTTGTGCTTGCTTTATGGTTACAAGATGTAATTCTATCTATTTATATTGTTCTTTCCTCATCATTGGAACTTAAGTTCTTGGTTAATTTCTTTTTATAGAGGTGCGAATTCCAGGAATTAATTTCTTATTTCAAGTAGAGGTCCATCCAATAACAAATCGTCATGTTAACTGAAAGGTGTAAATTTCTTTTATGAAGAAAAAAGAAAGAAAAATGTAAGCACTTATTTATCTCAAGGGATAAATACAAAAATGGCATTTGTACTATAAATTTTTTATTACTTTGGTATTTAAAATATAAAATTCATAATTAAATATCAGAATTTTCATTTCATTATATATTTTGATATTTTAGACTAACGTGGATAACTAACTTGTTAATGTAACATCAATACCTAATAAAAATATTATTCGTGTAAAAAAATTCAATTATCATCATATTATTATTGTCATCTCACTATTTCATCTCAGCATTGGAAGAAATTTTTTAAAAAAATTTAATTGAAAATTTTTACAAAATCCAAAAAATTCAAAACAATTTTTTAAAATATTTTAAATGATCTGAAACTAAAAAAACTTTAAAATCCCCAAAAATCTAAAAAGTTCAAAAAAATTTTAAAATTTTAAAATTCCAAAATTTTGAAAAAAGGAAAATTTAAAAATCCAAAAATTCAAAAAATAAAAAATAAAAATAAAAAACAAATTCATAAAAACTGAGTAATTAAAAATTAGTAACAAATTCAAAAAAATTACCAAAAATTCAAGAAAATGAAAAATTTTTAAATATTACAAAAATTGGAAAATTTTAAAATTTAAAATTTTAAAACAAAAATTTTTAAATTTTGAAAATCCAAATAGGTTAAAAAAGGCTGAAAAATTAAAATCAATATGAAGTATTAAAAATCTTAAAATTAAACACTGTAAAAGTTTTTAAAATTTACCAAAAAATTCAAAAAATAAAAAAAATTGAATTTTGTTTAAAAAAAGTAAAATATGAAAAAAAATATATATGAATATATAAAAATGAAAAATAAAGTTTGGCCATGTACGACTTTTTTCGGGTTTTTTTTAGTCTTTTAATTTTATTTTTTTTAAGTTTTCAGATTTTTTTCCTTTTTTCCGCAATTTTTTTGGATTTTAAAAGAAATTTACTAATCTTTTTACAATTTTTTTTAAACTCTTAAGTTTTTTTTTAGATTTTTCATGGATTTTGTAAGAATATGATTTTTTTTAATGTTTTCAGATTTTTTTTAAAATTATTAGTTGTTTTTCCTTTTTCGGAAAATTTTAAAAAATTTTCAGATTTATTTTCATTATTGGGTTTTTTTTTAATTTTTCAGGGTTCTGAAATTTTTTAAGATTTGTTTTTTAATTTTACATTAATTTTAAAAAATTTTTCCTTTTTAAGAATTTTTCATAGTTGTTTTAGATTTTGAATTTTTTTTAAAAATCTTAATATTTTTTATTTTTTAAAATTTGTTTTTGAATTTTTTTGGATTTTCATATTTTTTCATATTTTAAAATTTTTTGGAAATTTTAAAAATTTTTCAAAATTTTTAAGATTTTTGGGAATTTTTTTAATTCTTTAGGTATTTGGAAATTTTAGGATTTTGTACTTTTCCAAATTTTTTATATTTTTCAAAAAAATTTTGAAATTTTTTATTTTTCTGAAAATTTTTAGATTTTTTAGATTTTTTAAAATTTTAAAATTTTTTAATTTTAATTTTTCTTATTTTGTTTAGATTTTTTGAAATTTTCTTCTAATACTAATGTAATATTAATGATATGAAGATAATTGAATATTTTAAAATGAATACTTTTAACATGCGTCATGATTTAATTGGATATTTATGTCTAACTAATAACTTGATTAATGATGTTAGTTTAATAACCAAAATATATGATAAAATAAAATTTTAAATATTTAATTATAAATTTTATTTTTAAAATAGCAAACTGATAAAAATTATTTATTAGATAATTTATGTATATATTTAACCCGAATCTCAATAATATGACATAATGATAAAACGTTTCTTTTAAGATCTTGAGTTTCTAGCCTAATCACAGAAGAATTAGGAGATTTGTTGTAGGACACATAGGCACAGGCCCAAAATACATGGGACAAAACTGAAAGATGCTCCTTGACCTTGTTGAAGACTGCTAGTTTTTGATGAACTAGCAGTGCCCGTCAACGCTACTCCCTCATCAGTTAAGTATAGCTGAAAGTAGACAAGAACTATTCGCTTGCGATTCTAATTGACAAATTAAAGCCTGCGATTTCCTTAATAAAATGACTTATTCGCTTGACAACTTAAAACTTTTACCGTTTTTTCTTTTCTTAAATCTAATACAGGACAAGGCTGAGTCCGTACAACTTAGTAGATTAACAAAGGCCATCTCAACAGGGAAATATATATATATATATATATTGCGCGTACGCAAAGACAATGGCTCACCAAAAACAAAGTGCCACATAATATATGATGCAATTCGTTTGTGAAAGAAAAAATATGAGTGTAGGGACCTAAGGTTGTTACCACCAGCTTTGTGCATAATTGTTGGACTTGGACTCCGCCTCCCATCCACTATCATTTTATCATGGCCTTCAATAAAACCATAGTGAGAGGACCACTCACATGGCTGATAATGAACAATTCTAAATATAAAGAAAAATGAAAAAGCATCAACCATGATCATAAAAAAGAACAAAAAAGGAGGATGTATTATTGTTCATGTCCTAATTAACATAAATTTATAAAAGACATGAAGACTTTGTTATTTGATACATGGTGTTATACAACTGATTGACGTCATGCAAACATATGCTAAATTGACAACTAACCATATGATTTTTGATAATCTGCCCGACGGAAATCAAGAAAGGGATGAGGCAGCTGTTGAGCTGAAGATTTCAATTTATTCTCTAACGAAATTAATTCCATCCACAATTTTTGGTTTTCCAGGGAGTTGTGATCTTTTGCTGTCTTCTTTGATTCGTTTCTGAAAGCTATTTGTTTCCCTTCTTAAAATTATCAATGAGTAAGTGTTTTTTTTTCTTTTGTGTTAATTGACTAAAATTAAGCACGATTTCAACTTGCAGCAATGACTGGTTGAAATGTTAATTAATTAATTGGTGCAGAAATTAGATTGCATGTGTGTATTTAGAATGTTCTACTGCCACGCCTGTTGATGCAGATAATCGTTTTTAAGTTGTTTTCATTCTAATAATTGTACTTGCTGCCTTGTATTTTGAGTGCAATTTTTGCTTTGTATTCCTTTTGTAAAATGCATATGCAGCGGTACGAGGATATATTCTCAATTGTTCATGATCATGCCTTGTTTTTGAGGGCCTTCAAGCAATCACATCTTAAAGATTTCTTAGGATATTCTGAGTTTCTTTGGCCATAATTAATCTAGAAGATCATCGAACCTTTCCCATCAGACTCTAATCTAAATGCAAAGAAAGATTGACACCAGTGGTTCTTATCCAAAAGTTACAATTGTACAAATAGCAAAGCGAAAGGGGACTTTACTATTTGATAAGTTTGTTGGTAGGTCCAAAGTCCAATATCCCTCAAATTATCTCGATTCTAACATACTTTCATGGCCATGTACATGGTTACCAAGAACATATTGAAGCTTATTTTATCATTTAATTCTCACCAACTCTTTGCCCGTTTAGGAACAGATATTCCCATTTTGAGGGGTCACAGCTGTACGTCATGGAAATTAAGAAGAAAGAAGGTAAGTAGTTGGATAGAATGAAAGTGCTCTTTGTGGATCATCATATATATTCTGGTACTACTTCGTGAAAATGAAAAGCATGATGCATGCATGGCGTTTCTTCAACATATTTACAGAGCCAGGTTCATGAAAAGCTTGGACATATAATAAAACTCAGAACTTTAACTAAACATCTCGATATCAGAATTAAATGCTTAAAGAGTAGAAAGTTGACAGGGTCAAGAAGTAATAAATTCATTTATAGAATGTTTTAGTAGATGCAGTTTATGTATGGAGTGGATAATATCTTTAAAATATTAAACTTGATAGAATTTGATTTAGAGGCAACTTTGATCTTCTAGGCAGTACTGGAGCCCTCTTATTCCTATAGCTAGAAAATGCAAGAAACATGGTTTTCACTCTTCAGCGCTCTTTTATATATATTTGCTCTGATCAGTTGGGAATCTGAAACTGATCAAATTGGATAATCTTGTTTGCTTGCCCTAGCTAGCTACCCCTGAAAGCAGCAGCAAACATGTGCGGAAAATGCGTGCTCCTCTCTCTCACAGCTGTATCTTCCTAATAATAATGCTTGTGCATGTAAAGAATCGCAATTAATTTGTGATGTATTATCTATTTCAATTTGAAAATATCATGATTTTATTTTATAAAAAGTGTCACAGGTATAAATTTAAATCTTAAATACTATAGCAAATTCTCAAAATATAAATTGGGATGTTACAAACTATATTTGTCAAAGCTTAATATTTCTATGATGCTCAACACAGAATACGTAGAAGTAAAATCATGTTAGAATGTTAGATGTAGATGTAATTCTCATCGTAAAATAATTAACTTTCACTCACTGAGATTCTTTAAGATAGTTCCATGGTGTACCAATTAGTTCCTTTCAGTTGATGATTGCTTTAATACTATTATAAAGATTTGTATCCCAACCTCCAAGTATTGTCTGTTTTGGCATAAAGATATCACGATTTTTTCTCAAAAAAATACTTGCAAATATAAATTCAAATTTTTACATAAATACAATAATAGATATTCAAAATATCTGGGTGTAAGATTGAGTGTTACACTACATCATCAACTCACGACAATGCATAATCAATGGAAATAATACCTAAACG